TTTGCCTAGATGATCTGTCCAATATTGACAGTGGGGTGTTCAGGTCCCCTGCTATTATGGTATTAGTGTCTATTTCCTTCTTTAGGTCTAATAGAGTTTGCTTTATAAATCTGGCTGCCCCAACATTGGGTGTGTATGTATTTGTGATTGTTATGTCTTTTTGATGGATCAGTTTTTTTATCATTACATAGTGTCCCTCATTGTCTCTTTTTCTGGTTTTTACTTTAAAGTCTATTTTATCAGATATAAAAATAGCTACTCCAGCTCATTTTTCTTTTCTGTTTGCATGGTAAATCTTTTTCCATCCTTTCACTCTTAGTCTAGGCGAGTCTTTATGGGTGAGGTGGGTCTCTTGAAGGCAGCATATAGTTGGGTCCTCCTTTTTAATCCAGTCAGCCAGTCTGTGTCTTTTGATTAGGGAATTTAAGCCTTTTACATTAAGAGTTCTTATTGAAAAGCGTTGATTTATTCCTAGCATTTTATTATTGTTTGGTTGTCTTAGGTGTTTTTTGTTCCTTGCTTTCTGATTTACTGTTTGTTTTCTGTATTTGTTGATTCCTTGGGTTGTAGATAGCCTTGAGAATTTCTTGTAAGGGTGGTCGTGTAGTGGTGAACTCCCGCAGTTTTTGTTTGTCTGAGAAATATACTATTTGCCCTTCATTTCAGAAGGATAGCCTTGCAGGGTAGAGTATTCTTGGCTGGCAACCTCTGTCTTTTAGTATTTTGAATATATCACCCCATTCCTTTCTGGCTTTTAGGGTTTGTGATGAAAAGTCTGATGTTAGTCTGATTAGGGCTCCCTTATAGGTGATTTGACGCTTCTCTTTTGCAGCTTTTAAGATTCTCTCTTGTCTTTGAGTTTTGCCAGTTTGACTATAACATGTCTTGGAGAAGACCTTTTAGGGTTGAATACATTTGGAGATGTTTGAGCTTCCTGGATCTGAAGATCTGTGATTTTTCCTATACCTGGGAAGTTTTCTGCCACTATTTTGTTGAATATATTTTCAATGCAATCTCCTTTTTCCTCCCCTTCTGGAATACCCATGACTCGGATATTTGAGCGCTTAAGGTTGTCTCATATCTCTCTCAGATTTTCTTCAATGCTTTTGATTCTTTTTTCTTTTTCTTTTTTGTCTGCCTGTGATATTTCAAAGAGCCCATCTTCAAGTTCAGAAGTTCTCTCTTCAACTTCCACTAGTCTACTGGTTAAACTCTCTGTTGTGTTTTTTATTTCACTGAATAAATTCTTCAGTTCGGCAAGTTCTGCTAAATTTTTTTTTCAGGGCATTGGTTTCCTTGTACATTTCTTCTTTCAGGTCCTGTGTACTTTTCCTTGTTTCATCATGTTATCTAGCTGAGTTTTCTTGTATCTCATTCAGTTTCCTTAGAATTATCACTCAAAATTCCTTTTCAGTCATTTCAAGGGCTTCTAGAGGATCTAGAGCTTGAGAGTTATTACCCTTTGATGGTGTACTTTCTTGATTTTTTGTATTTCTGGTATCTTTTCTTTGATGTTTATTCATTGTGGCAGGGGGTTTCACAGTCCACAGGTTTGACACTATTGTCTGACTAAGATGTTGCTGGGGTTGCCAATTTGGTATGGCTATCCCAGTGACTGCTCAGTTGGCCACTAGTGCCTTGCGTGTGTGGTTGCCTCGGGTCTTGGGCCTTTCTGGGTAGCCACCTCTCTTGTCAGCTTGGACTCAGCCGGGCTGCTGGGTCACAGGGTGGTACCACAGGGTGTGTGGCCTCTGCCGAGCTTCCGCCTCCCCTGCTGGACGTCTCCCTATTCCGCGCACACTGGGCCGGGCTACTGGGATGCGCGGAGGCACCGCAGAGCGTATGGTCTCCCCTGAATATCCAGCTATTCTCAATGTCAGGACTCAACACAGCTGCTCCTCTCCCATTCTTTGTGAAGACTTGGGTGCCAAGAATTCAGCCCTGGTCACAGACCGAGAACTATTCCCTTCCCATCTGGAATCCAGGCCCTTTTGCCCCAGCCTACTTCAAGGACCTCCCCACTGATGTCCAGAATTCATAGTGTGCTCTAATCCACTGCTTCCCTGGGGCTGGAACACAGGGTTTCAGGTGCGCCACACACTGGGTCGCCCACAACTTCGCAGCCGCCTGCCTCCGAGGATGCCTCCTGCCGCCCCCTTTGCCACTCCCGCCGCTGCTGTTATCCTCCTCTGCCTGCCACCACCACTGCTGCTCAAATAACTACCAGGAAGGTTTGATGGGGGATCTGGATCATTCTATTTTGTATAGAGAACATGTAGTGACTCCGAAGATCAGCCCCAATGAACAGGTCAGTGTTGACTTTACAAGAATATAAATTGGAAAAGCAGTTCAGTGAGAATGAAACCATTCAATGGATGCAGGAAAACTGGTAGGTGATGCTTTCATGTGATTCTTTTCCTTGAGCCCTGCATGTCTTCCCGGAGTGCCTTAATGTCGGAATTTCCCATCCGGGCATGAAGTGATGAATCTCAGGCAGCAGCAAGCTGATCACTGAGTTCTCAGGTCTTCCGGGTGCAGGAGACACTGGGGCTGCATGAAGCATGTGGTTTGTGGGTACCCTTGTGCAAACCATGGCTACACAGGCACGTTTTATATAGATTATATAATGTAAAGCATATATGTTTGCATAGAGTGATGTCTGCACGACTGGGAAGGAAGGAGAGATGCTACAGTCCAGATACCCTACTTGTACTACCCCTTGGTTTTCATCTAGATTTGGGGTTTTGTTGCTTGTCCTCCCACAACCAGAATATGAAAGGCAGTGGAGGGAAGACCCCCTCTCACTTTCCTTAACCCTCTCCCACCCGCAACCCTGGGCTCTGGTCCTCACCCTCTCCCCATCCCTCCTGTCATTTCTCCTGCAGCTCTCCTACTTCACAGCCCACCAGTCTGCTGCTCCCCGGCCGGATGCCTTCTTTCCAGGACCCCTCTTTAATAATTCTAGGAGACAGAGCTTAATTCCCCTCACTTGGCATATGGGCTGGACTTGACAATTACTTCTAAGAGAAAAATGATAACTTTATGATGGAGAAACCTGGCAGACACTACCTTCACCAAGTGATCAAGGGTAACACCACTAAGTCATATTGTGTACCCCTTGATAAGATACAATGAGGACACTTCGCCTCTGTGGTATTCTTTCAAAAAGTCTATAATGTCAATGTAATAAGAAAACACCAGACAATTCCAAATTGAGGGACTTTTATAAAATCCTGGCCAATTCTCTTCAAGCATCAAGGTCACGAAAGACAAAGAAAAACTGAGACCAAAGGAATGTGACCACTAAGTACAACCTGGGATCCTAGATTGGATTCTAGACCATAAAAAGGTGAATAGTGGAAAAACTAGTGTAATATCCAAATAAAGTCTGTAGTTCAGTTAATAGTGTTATACCAATGTTAATTTCTTAGCTTGACAAATGTACCATCATTGTATAAGATGTTAACATTAGAAGGGACACATGATGTTACCAGTTGTTGACCTCCTACTGTAAGAATAGACTTCATTTACGTATATATTTACTATTAGCATAGACTCAAAGTTCTATTTTTTTCAAATGGTTTGTATGTCATCAGTGTACTCAATTAGTTTGGTGCTCAAATTGTCCCAGATTTGGCCACTGGGTGGAAGACCCTTCAAACTGGTGCCTGAGCCCTGGTGCCATGCTCTGTCATGTTTTTTTTAGCACTTCCTTACTTTCTGGCATGACAAAATATTCTGGAATCATCATATCCTAATCCTGGAAGCAGGCACTTCTCCAAGAAGTCTTGGTTTGCATTAATAGAAAAGGGTGTTGGAAACTAAGATCTGGACATTATATGTGCTCGCTGCTACTGGAGGGTCCTTGCTTCTTGATCATTTCTGTGGACAGACCTATAAAACACATATGTTTATATACACATACACATACACATAAATACATGGACACATACATATACATGAATACAAATATGCATGTGCACATAAACAGGCATGGACACACTCATACACATCTTAAGAAACAAAAGTTCATACAGATACTTCCAATGCTAGTCCATCTTCACAGGAAGCTTTCTTACTTTGCTCCATTCCACCTGTAAGATTTTCCTTCCCCATTGAGAACCCAGGCTCCCACCAACAAGGACACATGTACTCATCTGCTCAGTCCTATAATGCATATAAAATAGTTGCAGAATTGCTTCACCCATACCACTACAATACGCAAACCTACTAAAGTTTAGGATTTGCTTTTAATTCTAATATTCATATAACAAACCCTGCCCAAGACTGAGGTATACAGTTAAATACCATGTTCATTATTATCCCTTCTTTCTTATACAAATGGTAACAAACTATATATGCTTCTTGCATTTTGCTCTTTTCACTTAACATTTCCTGAAAAACCACTCCATTAACAGTTTGTTGGTATTTTCTTCCTCATTCTTTTTCACAGCTGCATTGTGTGTACGCACTAGTTTTTTAAATTTCCTATGCTGGACAATTGGTGCTAAAGGCACAGAGCCAGGACCAGGTGTGGGGTAGGCATTTGTCAGGATATGGGGCATATGGACTCTAGGGTTTAGGGAAAATGAGGGGCCATGGCTAAAGGGGGAAGTGCCTTGGGCTGGATATGAGGGTAGGTGGTTTCAGATCCTTAGCCTGTGACTGGAGCACTAAGGAGGGTGGTGGCTGAAGGACATCACACCGTGGGCTGGATCACTGGCACATGGGCATAGCTAACATGATGGGCCTTGGGATGCAGGGATGGAGGTGTGAATACATGCCCTTCAATCTGGTGTTGGGGAGGCTGACTGTGTTGCTAGTGGCTCATCACGAACAAAGGAAGACTTAAGGTGTGAGTTGAAGGCCATAATAATATCACTCTCACTGTACGCAGGACCAGAGTCCAGAATAAATACGTAACTCCTCCATGTCTCCCAAGAGGTTAAATACCTTGGGGTTCTCCTCAATAGATCAGAGAATGAGGTACACAGCCAGTATGCAACTTTGTAGAGAAGCAGTTTATTAAAACAAAACATCATAAAATACAGAGGCTGCTGTGCAGGAGATAAAGCACAAACAAACTATCTCATGACTATTGAAGAAAGCAACATTTTTCCTCCATTCCATATCAAGAAAGTGGAACACTGACACGTGACTTCTACCATCTTTACACTTATGGAGAAAGGAAAGGAATGGTCAGGAGAACACCCCTTATGGCAGGAGCTGACGGCTAGACAGGAATTTTGGGGTATCCATAGGGCAGAGTGTTATGGACTGACTGGTGTCCCTCCCCCAACCCAATTCACATGTTGAAGCCCTAATCCTCAATGTGTCTGTATTTGGGGATAGGACATTTAAAGAGGTAATTAAGGCTAAAATGAGGTCATAAGGGTGTGACCCTAATACAATATGACTGGTGTCCTCATAAGAGAGACACCAGGAAGTGCATGCACATAATAGGCTATGTGAGGATACAGTGAGAAGGTAGCCATCTACCAGCCAAGGAAAAAGGCTTCAGTAGAAATCAAACCTGCCAACACCTTGTTCTGGGACTTCCATCTTCCTAACTGTGAGAAAATAAAGCTCTATTACTTAAAGCACCCAGTCTCTGGTGCTTTTTTATGTAAGTCCTAGCAAACTAATACAAACTTTGGTACCAAGAGTGGGTGCTATTATAACAAACCTAAAAATGTGGAAGTGGCTTGGAACTGGGTAATAGGTAAAGGCTGGAAGAATTTTGAGGAATTGTTAGAAAAAGCCTGGATTGCCTTAAAGAGACTATTGGTAGGCATATAAATGTTAAAGGTGATTCTGGTGAGGTCTCACACAGAAATGGAGCAAGCCATTGCAAACTGGAATCCTTGCTATACAGTGGCAAAGAATGTGGCCAAAATGTATTCCAGTGTTTTGTGGAATGTAGAAGTTGTAAGTAATATAACAGCAGAATATTCAGATGAGATTTCTACACAGTGATGAAAGCATGGCCTGATTTCTCCTTGCTGCTTATAGTAAAGTATGAGAGGAGAGAGATAAATTGAAGAATTGTTAAGCAAAAAGGAACCAGAACTTTAAGATTTAGAAAATTCTCAGCCTATCCATATTGCAAAAAATGAGAAAGCATGTTCTAGACAGAACACCAAGGGTGTTGATGAACAACCATTTGATAAAGAGATTTGTACAGGTGTAAATCATGGAACCAATTAACCATCTCACCAGAAACTCTAACTGCTTGAAGTGAAAGGGAGAGAGATGGGACAAAATGAAGGCAGGTTATTGAACTTCTGGAATTCTAAAGGAAAGTACAATAGGATTACCGAGCTGTAAACATGCATTAATCTTCAAGAAAAGGGAAGAATGTGATTCTCAAAGGTGATTCAGATATGGGCAGGGCTACCACTCTGACCATAGGCTCAGGGAGTACAGATCGGGGGGGCAAGTGTGTCTCCTCCTCAATTTTGTGGGCCAAGAACTGCTGCCCCAGTGAGCCCAGAAGCAGAGCATTGAGCCAAAGGGGATTCTTCTTGAGTCTTAAAATCTAATGGAATTTGTCATCTTGGTTTCACACTTGCTTGGGATCCATCACTCCTTGTGTTTCTAATGTCTCTCTTTTGGAATAGGAAAGTCTAGCTTATGCTTGTCCCACCATCGTATTTTGCAAACAGATAACTTACTTGGTTTCATATTATCACAGCTGGAGATGAATTGTACTTGGAGTCTTACCTAAATTTGACTTAGATAATACTGATTTAGATGAGATTTTGGATTTAAAGTTGATGCTGGAATGAGTTAAGAATTTGGGGGTTGCTGGGATAGTGTGAATGTATTTTGTATGTGAGAAGGATATGAACTTTGGTGGTCCAGAGGGCAGAGAGTAATGGACTGAACTGTTCCCCCAAAATTTATATGTTGAAGTCCTAACTCCCAATGTGACTGTATAAGGTTATATGGTTGTGGCCCTAAACAAAATGACTAGTGTCTGTATAAGAAGGGACAAATGTGCACAGAGAAAAGGCCATGTGAGGACACAGTGAGAAAAGAGCCATTTGCAAGCTAAGGAGAGAGGTTTCAGCAGCAACCAAACCTGCTGACACCTTGATCTGGGGCTTCTAGGCTCTATAAATATGAGAAAATAAGCTTCTGATGTTTAAGCCACTCAGTCTAGGGTATTTTGTTATGGTAGCCCTAGCAAACAAAGACACATCACTCATGCAAAAAGCAACCACAAATCGACCATTACATGATCGATGAAAGAAAGTAATGATTTTTTTCCATCAGTGAAGTAGAACATTTACTAGTGATTTTCGCCAGTTTCCCACTCATGGGGAAAAGAAAGGAAAGATCAGGAGAGCGCCTCTTGTAGGGGCTGATGGCCAGACTTGGTCCTCCTGTGCCTGTGGAGGTGGGACTTCTGGCTAAAGCCGCGCCCACACTCCCTGCACACGTACGGCTTCTCCCCTGAGTGGGTCCGCTGGTGTCTGATGAGGGCGGATTTAAAGCCAAAGCCGCGCCCACACTCGTCACACACGCACGGCTTCTCTCCTGAGTGTGTCCTCTGGTCAGCGGCGAGGTGTGGCTTCTGACCAAGGCCTTGCCCACACACCCTGTCTACATAAAGCGCCTCTTCTGAGTGTGTCCTCTGGTGTCTGGTGAGGAGTGACTTAAAGCCAAAGGCACGCCCACACTCAGGGCACAGGTAAGGCTTCTCTCCTGTGTGTGTCCTCTGGTGTCTAATGAGGGTGACCTTCTGCCCAAAGCCACGCCCACACTGGGGGCACAGGTAAGGCTTCTCCCCAGTGTGTGTCCTCTGGTGTCCAATGAGGGTGACCTTCTGGCTAAAACCCCGCCCACACTGGGGGCACAGGTAAGGCTTCTCCCCAGTGTGTGTCCTCTGGTGTCTGATAAGGGTGACCTTCTGGCGAAAGCTGTGCCTGCACTCAGTGCAGACATAAGGCTTCTCCCCTGAGTGTGTGACCTGGTGACTGAGCAGCAGCGACTGCTGCCTGAAGCCACGCCCACACTCAGGGCATAAGAAGGGCCTCTCGCCCGTGTGTGAGCTCCGGTGCTGCAGGAGCGAGGCCTTCTGGCAAAAGCCTCTTCCACACTCAGGGCACACGAAGGGCTTCTCTTCCAAGTGTGTCCTCTGGTGAAGGACGAGGGCTATCTTCTGGCGAAAGCCTCGGCCACACTCCTGACATACAAAGGGTCTCTCCCCAGAGTGAATCCTCCTGTGGTTCGTGAGAGAGGACGTATACCTGAAGTGTCGCCCACATTCCCTGCACACGTATGGCTTCTCTCCTGAGTGCTTCCTCTGGTGTATGGTGAGGGAGGCCTTCTGGCTAAACTGGCGACCACATTCGGGACACAGGTAAGGCTTCTCCCCTGTGTGTATCCTCTGGTGCTTGATGAGGTCTGACCTCTGGCAAAAGCCTCTCCCACATTCAGGGCACACATGATGTTTCTGGTGGCTGAATACACTTGACTTTTGGCTGGGCCCCAGTCTGTATTTTCCGCATGTGACTGTTCCAGATTCTGAGACATCCGCCCCCTTCAACGTTCTGTCTGACTCTCCAGGGCTCATCCTCTGGGCCAGGCCAAGGTCTATTTCTCCCGTTCTGTTGTCTTTCACCCAGTCTACTGGGTGACCTTGATGTGGGCAGAAGAATGTCCTCGAAATCTTGCTTGGCTTCATCTTCCCAAACATGGTGCCAAGGCCTTCTCTCTCTCCACCTTCTCTTTCAATCAAGCACCTTGGAGCTTCTAGTTGGAAGTCACTTTTTGTAGATGAGCTTGTGAAGATTGGAGGGGGACGACCACTTAGCACATATTGTCTGAGGAATCGTGGACTAGATAAGGCCACCGGGTGGGAGAGACAGGGCCGGAATTCTGTCCCGCGTTCTGCTAGAGAGAAAGTGTTGGTCAGAATCACCGCAGGCGCTTTGTGGGCAGTAATACTTGCTCAGCAGTCATTGCTCAGATGTTCACCACAAAGATGCCTTTACAGACCTACCTTCCACCCCACAACGACACATTACGTACCCAATTGCAACACTGAAAACCCACGCTACAGGGCCGGCCCGGTGGCGCACTGGAGAGTGCGCCGCTTGGGAGCACAGTGGCGCTCCCACCGAGGGTTCAGATCCCATGTGGAGACCAGTTCCCGCTCACTGACTGAGCGCGGTGTGGGCGCAACACTGAGGGTTGCGATACCGTTGCCGGTCCCCGGTACGGGCGCGACACCGAGGGTTGCGATCCCGTTACCGGTCAGTAAAAAAGACAAAAAGGAAAAAAAAAAAAAAAAACCCACGCTACAAACCGAAGCTGAAAATCTTTCATACGTTTTGGTGAAGTGTCTGCTCATGTCTTTTACCCTCTTTTCTACAGAATTTGTTCTTTTCCCTTCAATTCCTAAAATATCTATATAGAAGGGATATTAATCCTTTATTAGTTATTTTGATTTATATGTTGATAGTATATTTTCCTCATATCATTTCTTTTCTGACATTGTTTATGGTATTTTTTCCACAGAAAAGTTTTTGATATTTGTTTTTTTTTTTTTTCCTTTTTGTCTTTTTTGGTGTCCGGCAACGGATCGCAACCCTCAGTGTCGCGCCCGTACCGGACTGGGACCGGCAATGGGATCGCAACCCTCGGTGTCGCGCCCACACCTCGCTCAGCCAGTGAGCGGGAACCGGTCTGTATGTGGGATCTGAACCCTCGGCGGGAGCGCCACCGCGCTCCCAAGCGGTGCACTGTAGCAGTGCGCCACCGGGCCGGCCCAAGTTTTTGATATTTGTATAGTAAAATGTATTAATCTTTTATTGCCTCTGGATTAGAAAGCCCCTCCCTACATCAAGTTAAAGATCATTTCACCATGTTTCTTTCTTGCATTTTTAATTGTTTTTAACATTTAGATCTCTGACCCATTGGAATTAATTCTAAAGTATGATGTGAAAAATGGAATTAATTTAATCATTTTATAAACCACTAGCCAATGCCCCATTTATTTAAAAAAAAAATTTGCTCTACTGATTTGAGATCCTACCTTTCTGAAATACTACATTTTCATATGTAGTCGGGCCTAGTCCCACACTTTCTATTATCTTTCCATTGATCTACTGATGGGGAAATATCTCACTAAAATTATAGAGGCTTTGTATCTGGAAGGGCTAGTCCCCCTCAGAGCTATTCTTGTTCAGTGTTTTTGTAGCAACTCTTATGTTAATTTTTCCATATGAATTTTAGGATTAACTTGTTGTAGAGTTCCATAAGAAAACTCATTGGAATTTCTAATGAAATTACATTGTTTATAAATAAACTTATCGAGAACTGTTATCTTTATTATACTGAGATGTTCTAACCAAGAACAGGAGATGCCTTTCCATTTGTACAAGTCTACTTTGTGTCTTCCAGCAGCATTTTCTAGTTTTCTAATTGGTTTGGCACATTTTTAATTCATGTTATTCCTAAACTTCTTATCATAAGCTAATGTTATTGAAATCAGAGTCATTAATTTCATCCCACAAGAAAAGGACAATAACATTATTACCTTGTGAAAATTACTACTGTGCTCCATTTGAGACCATCATTTTGTGCCATGTTAGGTATTAACAGCCAGGCCTATTATATTTCCAGAGCTGAGACAGAGCAACCCTAAGGAATATATGCTTTGGTGATTTGTTCCTTCTTTTCCAAAGACCTACAGCTGAATGTGTTAGGAACAGATTTCCTCTTTCCATAAGATCCTAATGTTCATTATCTGTATGGTTTTCTACTACATCAATCAAAAGGGTTCTTCTCCCCTTCTTTCATCGCCATTTTTATGTAAATTAGAGGTTCAGATTTATCCAGCATAGAAGTTATAAAAACAAGAGGTCAGTTTTATTTTCTTTGCTGTTTTTAATTTCTACATCATTTATTAGGTCTATCTTAGGTGAATGGTCATAGAAACTTCCATTCATGGAAAAACACAGTAAAAAGTTAATATATATGCTATAGTGGGTATTATCTACATTTCTACTCTCAGTAGAAATTTTTTAGGCTACTGCTCTGAGATGACAATAGACATGTTTGCCACATTATTGAAACATTAAGGCACATACTAATAAAGAACAAATTTTCAGTGTTATTAAAACACAGAATTCATTTCTATTATGGAATTAAATTGAATCCGTATTCCAATACAACCTTTTCTTAGCATACTAAGCACAAAATTTCTAGATTATAATTAAAGCAACTTTGAGGTACAATTTATAAAAAATTAAATGCACACGTTTTAAATGTACAACTATAAAATTGCATTTTGACCAAAGTACACATTTATGTAACCACCACCCCACAAGATTTAGAGAATTTCCAACACCCCAGAAAGTTCCTCTAAAGGCACTGTCCACTGCCCTAGACCCCGGGCAACTACTAATCTGTTTTCTGTCATTATAGATTTCAATAAATAGTACCAAACAATTTTTAGTCTTTTGTGTCTGCCTTCTGTCACTCAGCATAATGTTTTTAGATTTACATGTTTCTCCATATATCAGTGGTTAATTCTTTTTTGTTGCTATGCACTATTTTTACTAGAAAGAGACATCAATCTGAACCACTGATTTTCAAGTGGTAAAGTAACCTTGCAATTCAATAAACTGTACTTCATCATGGTATGTGTGTGTGTGTGTGTGTGTGTGTGTGTATAACATGGTGCTAACCTGCTAATATTATGTTAAAGATTTTTGCTTCAGTGTTCATAGAACTATTACATTACTATATACTTTTATTATTTTGTAATGTCTTTTTTAGGTTATGGTATTAGGGTTATACTGGCCTCATTAAATAGGTGGGAAGTTCAATTTTTAAAAAGTATTTATATAATATTGGTATTATTTCTTCCTTGACTATTTAAAGGAATTCACAAGTAAAAACATCTGGGTCTGGGGTTTTCTTTAAGTGAAGTTAAAAAAAAAACAATTACATTAATAAATGTAGCATTACTCACATTTTGTTCTACCCTCTGTCAGTTGTATTTTTCAAAAAATTTGTCCATAATAACAACTTATTTAACAAGTTATTAGTATAAACTTGTTTGTAATATCTACTTATTATCCTTCTAAAGTCTGAAGGATATGTGATGTTAACGCCCCTTTCATTTTGGAATTGATTATTCGTATCTTCTTGTTTTCCTTGAATAGTCTACCTAGCAATATATAATTCTGTTGAGCTTTTTGAATATGTAAATTTGTTGATCTTTTCAGAGAATCAGCATTTGGCTTTACTAATTTTTCTGCTGTTTATCTATGTTATATTTCATTGATTTCTACTCAATTTCATTATTTCCTTCCTTTTACTCACTTTGCATTTCTTTTGCTCTTCTTTCTCTAGCTTCTTATGGTAAAACCTACGTTACTTCTTTTCTAAAATAAGTATTTAAAGCTATAAATTTCCCTCTAAGCACTGCTTTAGTTGCATTTCACAAAAATTTTATTTTGCTGAGAGGAATTGTAAAAGATCTAAATAAACGGACCAGTATTAGTGGCGTGAAGGCTCAATATTGGCAAGATATAATTTCTCCCCCAAATAATCTACAGATGCAATAATGTCTCAATAAGAAACACCATCCAAGTTTTCCTTTTGTCTTTCTTTTCTCTTTTTTTTTCTTTTTTTTTTTTCAAAAGCTGATCCTAAAATTTAAATGGAAATGCAGAAGACCTAAACTATCCAAAGCAATCTTGAAAAAGAAGAACAAAATTTATGATTAAAAAAAGAAACACAACTAGTCCTCACTTACACTACCTAACTTCAAAAATTCCTATAATCCAGGCCGGCCTGGTGGAGTAGAGTGCAGCGCTTGGGAGCGCGGTGGCGCTCCCACTGAGGGTTCGGATCCCATATAGAGACCGGTCTGCTCACTGGTTGAGCGCGGTGCAGGCGCGACACCGAGGGTTGCGATCCCGTTGCTGGTCACGAAAAAAGACAAAAAGGAAAAAAAAATTCCTATAATCCTACAGTAAAACAGTGTGGCTTGTGACATATCAATCAAAGGAACTTAGAATACACAGCACAAAATAGCCCCACACTTAGCCAGTCATTGGATTTTCAACAAAAGTACCAAAGCAATCCATTGAGGGAAAGGCAAGTCTTCTCAGTAAATGATGCTAGAGCTGCTGAGTATTCATATGGAAAAGAAAAATAAACTTTAATCCCTGCCTCACATCATACACAAAAAATTCCAGGTGGCTCATAGACCTAAATGTAAAAGCTAATACTGTATAGCATTTACAAGAAAACATAAGAGAGTATATTCATGACAATGAAAGTGCTCTAAAGAGGGAAAAATGAGACTTCCTTAGAATCACAAACATCTGTTTATCAGAAGATACTGAACAGAGAACAGAAAAGTTTCAGATCAGGAGAAAATATTTGCAAAACATATATATGACAAAAGATTAGTATCTGAACTAAGAAATGACTCAGAGAACTTAACAAGAACAAAAAACAATGCAATAAAAAATTGAAAAAAAATTTGAATGGGCACTTCACAAAGGAAAACATGAATGATAACAAAGCACTTAGAAAAGTGCTCCACATCATTACCATGCAGTTTTAATGCAAATTAAAACCACAATGAGATACCACTATACATCCATCACAGCAGTTAAACACACTGTCAGGGAAGATGTGAAGCAAGAGGAACTCTCATAGTGAAAAATGGAAAACCATTTTGGAAAAGGTCTGGTCACTTCATATAAAACTACATAAACAGTTACCCTATGATCCAGTGTACTTGGGTGAACAGTAATAGTCTTCCCTCCAAATTCATGCCTACCCATATTATGTGAATGTGGGCTTATTTAGAGATTTGTATACAGGTGTAATTAAGTTAAGATGAGGTCATACTGGATTAAGGT